TTGAATACGGGACATTTATAGTATTTCTACACTGTGGTATTTGTACTTCTACTAAAGTAACACTTTGAATACAGGACATTTACTTGTAACAGAGTATTTATTTCTACTTTAAGTAACATTTTGAATACGGGACATTTATAGTATTTCTACACTGTGGTATTTGTACTTCTACTAAAGTAACACTTTGAATACAGGACATTTACTTGTAACAGAGTTTATTTCTACTTTAAGTAACATTTTGAATACGGGACATTTATAGTATTTCTACACTGTGATAATATTACTTTTACTTATTTAGGCATAACACTTTGAATACGGGACATTTACTTGTAACAGAGTATTTATATCTACTTTAAGTAACACTTTGAATACGGGACATTTACTTGTAACAGAGTATTTATATCTACTTTAAGTAACATTGAATACGGGACATTTACTTGTAACAGAGTATTTATATCTACTTTAAGTAACATTTTGAATACAGGACATTTACTTGTAACAGAGTATTTATATCTACTTTAAGTAACACTTTGAATACAGGACATTTACTTGTAACAGAGTATTTATATCTACTTTAAGTAACACTTTGAATACAGGACATTTACTTGTAACAGAGTATTTATTTCTACTTTAAGTAACATTTTGAATACGGGACATTAATAGTATTCCTACACTGTGGTATTTCTACTTTTACTAAAGTAACACTTTGAATACGGGACATTTATAGTATTTCTACACTGTGGTATTTCTACTTCTACTAAAGTAACATTTTGAATACGGGACTTTATAGTATTTCTACACTGTGGTATTTCTACTTCTACTAAAGTAACACTTTGAATACGGGACATTTATAGTATTTCTACACTGTGGTATTTCTACTTTTACTAAAGTAACACTTTGAATACGGGACATTTATAGTATTTCTACACTGTGGTATTTGTACTTCTACTAAAGTAACACTTTGAATACGGGACATTTATAGTATTTCTACACTGTGGTATTTCTACTTTTACTAAAGTAACACTTTGAATACGGGACATTTATAGTATTTCTACACTGTGGTATTTGTACTTCTACTAAAGTAACACTTTGAATACGGGACATTTACTTGTAACAGAGTATTTATTTTACTTTAAGTAACATTTTGAATACGGGACATTTATAGTATTTCTACACTGTGTATTGTACTTCTACTAAGTAACACTTTGAATACGGGACATTTATAGTATTTCTACACTGTGGTATTTCTACTTTTACTAAAGTAACACTTTGAATACGGGACATTTATAGTATTTCTACACTGTGGTATTTACTTTACTAAAGTAACACTTGAATACGGGACATTTATGTACAAGTATTTATTTCTACTAAGTAACATTTTGAATACGGGACATTTATAGTATTTCTACACTGTGGTATTTGTACTTCTACTAAAGTAACACTTTGAATACAGGACATTTACTTGTAACAGAGTATTTATTTCTACTTTAAGTAACATTTTGAATACGGGACATTTATAGTATTTCTACACTGTGGTATTTCTACTAAGATCTGAGTACTTGTTCCACCTCTGCAGGCCCATCTGAACCGTGTTGCAGGGCATCTATTGGTTTGAATGGAGAGAAAATCCACAAGATGAAATCTGATACTGGAAACAAAATGTCAGACCAGCTACGTTTACGGCCAATCAGCGGGCAGCTGTGCTGGTGTTTACTGTCGCTCTCCCCCCGTGGTCCAATCGCAGCCAAGTCACGAGTCCCCAACTTCCGCATTATTAACCTATCGCTGTATTAAGTAGGCGGGATATTCCAGGTTTCTCGCATTCTGATTGGCGCGCTGCGCTTTTCTATCCCTTCTCACTCCCGGAGCTGCTGCGCCTGACGGAAGCGACGACGGCTGCTGCTGCTGTTTAATCTCTCAGCGAGGAAGAAAAGGAGGGCGAAAGGCGAGACGAACACGTAAAACCCTGTCTTCGGTAAGTCAGGTGCAATTTCAGAAGGCTTCGAGCGGCAGATTGTGATTTTACAGGCAGTCGTTTTGTAAAGATGTATTTGCGTCCCGTGCAGCAGGTGACGCGGCTTTTCCTCTGTCATGAGACCGCGAGGCAGCAGGAGGGTCTGCTGGAGCATCTCCTGTGGAGAGACGGAGGCCTCCAGCTGCTCGCGTGCCACATCGCGATCTACTTACCTGCTTTAATGCTTTAATGCGTTAATAATCACGTGCAGCATGTTCTTGCAGAGTAATGCCCGCGTTTCACTGGATATCTCTGCCGCATATTTAATGATTATTCCGGTGTCACGTTACTCAGCCGCCGTAATGTCGACGCTAACTAACGTAAAGGTAAAGCATCACCTGATACCTGCTGGCCTCTCTGTGTGGAGAGAGCGATGCGCCTGAAAAACAAAATCGACATTTAGGTTTGTTCACATAAGCCATTCATGCACGTGTTGCTGTGGAAAAGTTTGCACACCCCGTCAGTTTTTATTGACATGTGAATTATATTTATATATATCTTCAGTTTCAGTTAGTGGGCGATCGATACGGGTTTTTCCTGTATTAAGAAAAGTCATTTCATTATTCCCTGCAGATTGCAAATTAATCTACATGTTATCTTAGCCAGTAATGTGTTCTCTCAGATGGAGGTTTTATTAATGAATGAAGAGA